GCGATCGCGACGTCGACTCCTATTTTACGGGAAATTTAAGGGTGCACATCGTCGAAGAGTGAGTGTCTGTGACCATAAGTATCGGAGGAGAGATTCGGTAACGTTAATTGAAGTCGGGAGATGGTAAAAGAGTGGAAAAGAGGAAGTTAAGACGTGGAGTGTAAACAAACGTCCTCCGCCATGTGTTGTTTCGTGGGAAGCCGCTGAGGGCGAGAATGGTGTTAGGGCCTTCTGTTTACGTGGAAAGGACTTTATTTTGCCAAAGTTGGTGGTTCATTTTCTCTTTCGATTGTGATCATTGGTCTTTCCCAGATAGTATGTAATCAGATTTATTCTCGCGTGATGATAGCGAATCTGGTGGTGATTTACAGTCGTCGGTGTTGATAGGCCACGAGTATGGGAGGGCATGAGGTCTATCGGGGAAAACAGGCGGAAAATGGATATAGGAAAAGAATATAGAACGAAATATAGAAGCGGAAAAAGGATATAGAACAAAGTTTTTTTTTCTGGTTTCATATTGCCATCCAATATTGTCAAATTGTTCCTTGTCTCAATTATTTACATTGGAATGTGTGTGAATCTCGCGTTATCATTGCAACTAATGGAAATTCACTACAGTACAGACGCACTCGCCAGATACTAAGTCCCTAACTCCACGTCTCGAAATTTATTCAACAATCTAAGTTTCCGTGACTGGGCGTGCCCTTTGGTCTCTGCCCAAGGGGAGGGTTGCTGCGAGGCTCTGCCCTCCTATACTTCTGGGGGAAAATTGTCATCACCTTGGTATGCTTAGCAAGATAGAGCTGGAATTTGGGAGCACTGAGTGGATTTTGGCTGTGAGCAGGGCTTTCTGTGCATTTTTCCAATTTTTTTTTGTGGCGTTACTGTTTGTCTGCAGATTATTTTTTATACAGATGACTTCAACTTTTACTCATGTACAAGAACATCTTCACTTTACCTTACTTTAGTGCATTTATACTGTAAAGATTAGCCCAAATAATAGAATTAAGTGTTATAGGTGAAAGTGACCACACTTCTGAGATGTACCTCTTACTCCAGCCACTCCTTTGGAAATCCACAATCATTGCTGTGTGTATCAAAAACCTCCCAAATGTGGAGGCTACTTCCCCAGACCTCTATTTTGTTGCTATATTATCCCATCAGGGGCTCCCCCCCTGGACCCCACCTGTTGGCCATGAACTTGTTCTTCTCGTGGGAGTAGTCAGTCTATTTTAATTTGAAGTTAATTCTTGCCAATGCAACTTGTTTTTCCCCTTGTAAATTATCACGTAAATGTATAAAGGTCTTCCACAACTCAAATCAACTTGCAAAGGAAATACCATAGTAAACGTCTGAATGAAAATTAAGTATCTTTAAAATAAAAGATGTTTATTTAATTGGTTTTGGTTACATCTTCATCAGAAAAACTAAATACAATGGAGAGAATATGAAGTGGAAAAAATACTGAAAAATTGAAAAAACAAAGTTTTTAGCACGTGTTTTGTACTTCCAAAGAGGTTCATATATATTCTGGGCTCATGAAGGTTTTTAGACTTCCCTGACATTTTGAGAAATTGGTCCAAGCAGTATTTTTGATTATACAGATAAATTTGTCCTTTGAGTGGTAGAATATTGAGGCCATACTGCATGATGCAGTCTTGTTCAAAATGTTCAATAACTCCTATAATCCAGGTTGTGTGACTATTACATTGTGAAAAAATTTGGCTTGAGGGCTGTAAACATGCCACCTTGGAAAAATTTGGCGGAGGGCTGGGGTGATGGGAACGATTGCCATGAGTGCACAAGGCTCTTGGAGGGTAATTCAACTGGGCAATTAGGAAGGTGCTCTTCTTACTACTTTTGGTAAGAGTAGAATGTACCATCTGTGAAGAGAGCTGGCTCTGGGAGGACAAGATTTCTATGCTCAGAATCTTATTCCAGTCTGCTGTAACTGGTGGTGCAAATTGTATTACTGAAAATTTAATACTTTGGGATGGCTGGATGCTTGTACGTACATGCCATGGCATGCCTGGACTACATTCCCAGTGGCATGTGCATATGTGCCATGGTGTGCTGATCCCGTTTATTGGGAGCATGTACGATTGTGCCACGCATTCTGTGGTGCTGACACGATCCCTTGGCAGACGGGCCTGGGCCACTATGAATACAGCCCAGGAGAGAAGGCTTTTGCATAGGGAAACCACTCGACAGCATTGGGCTACATAACAAATATAGACATTGGAAAAATATAAAAAAAACATTCTTATTCAGTAAGAGATAACAGAAAAAAAAGTGCTGGCCTTTACTCTTGATATTGCGTACGGTGCTTGTGTGCCTATGAAAGTGGCTACTGAAGCCAAATACTTAGATTTTGAGCCAAGTGAGTAGTGAAGCACCTGGATCCAAGGGGAAAAATAATTGTAAACTGAAAGCTTGAACCTAGCAAATTAGCACTTCATGCTAACTTAAAGAAAATGTGGCTGTGTAAGGGTGTTGTAGACTTAACCCCTTCCCGACGGGTCATGCCGTGATGCGTCAAAACAAACCCTCAATCTGTGGCATGCAGCTGTATATGGCGGCAGCGCACCAAAGTCACCACTATGCCATTGGTTTTCAGAGCATATTTTTAAATGAAAAAAATTCGCCCATCATCAAAGGGTTAATCAGTGGTGATTTGCAGTAGATATATTTGTCATTTCATGGGAAATGAGGCCACAGTAGCTGTACCTGCATTGTTTAGAACTATTTCTTCTCTATAAGATGTTTATTTTCCCCTTTGTGCATTGCCCTTGGTAACATTAACCTCCAAGTTATTATAAGTGCTTGTTCCTTTTATGCATCTTCATGCCAAAATGACCTTTAAAAGTAATCTGTAGAATAATAATTGGATAGCCTTAGAGTAAAATTTTGAAACGGTTGGTCATGGAAAGTCTTGAGTAGGTTTATAGCGTCATTCAGAGGCTATGATTATAGCATGTCTAGTTCATTTGCTTTAAATCAGGTTAGAAAATTTAAATAAAGATGAGAAAATTGAACTTTCACTCTTTATTTACAGATGGTTGACTTTGAAGATGGACAAGGAGCCCCCAAGGGGGAGGTGGAGGCCCCTGAACTGCCAGAGATCAAGCTCTTTGGCAAATGGTCCCTGGATGAGGTGCAGCTCAGCGACATGTCCCTCCAGGTTAGTTGCAGATCAATTGTTGATATCTTTTGAACATTGTAATTTGCTTGTGTAAATGTTATCTTTTTATTGGTAGATAAAATACCTAATGATACTGCTTTACAGGATTACATTGCTGTGAAGAAGTACTATGCCAAGTACTTGCCCCACTCTGCTGGCCGTTATGCTGCCAAGCGTTTCCGCAAGGCTCAGTGCCCCATTGTGGAACGTCTGACCAACTCCCTCATGATGCACGGTCGCAACAACGGCAAGAAGCTCATGGCTGTCCGCATTGTCAAGCACTCCTTCGAGATCATCCACCTCCTCACTGGAGAGGTAAGCAGTGTTTCACAGCCAGGATGAACCTTTCTGTGGATTGCCATACTTTGCATATGTCTTGATGGATTATAGTGGCATATTATAAATTTGCTGGAGCTTTGATTCTTCAGCTAATCAGGAAAAGAAAAAAAAGTGCTGGCCTTTACTCTTGATATTGCGTACGGTGCTTGTGTGCCTATGAAAGTGGCTACTGAAGCCAAATACTTAGATTTTGAGCCAAGTGAGTAGTGAAGCACCTGGATCCAAGGGGAAAAATAATTGTAAACTGAAAGCTTGAACCTAGCAAATTAGCACTTCATGCTAACTTAAAGAAAATGTGGCTGTGTAAGGGTTTTGTAGACTTAACCCCTTCCCGACGGGTCATGCCGTGATGCGTCAAAACAAACCCTCAATCTGTGGCATGCGGCTGTATGTGGCGGCAGCGCACCAAAGTCACCACTATGCCATTGGTTTTCAGAGCATATTTTTAAATGAAAAAAATTCGCCCATCATCAAAGGGTTAATCAGTGGTGATTTACAGTAGATATATTTGTCATTTCATGGGAAATGAGGCCACAGTAGCTGTACCTGCATTGTTTAGAACTATTTCTTCTCTATAAGATGTTTATTTTCCCCTTTGTGCATTGCCCTTGGTAACATTAACCTCCAAGTTATTATAAGTGCTTGTTCCTTTTATGCATCTTCATGCCAAAATGACCTTTAAAAGTAATCTGTAGAATAATAATTGGATAGCCTTAGAGTAAAATTTTGAAACGGTTGGTCATGGAAAGTCTTGAGTAGGTTTATAGCGTCATTCAGAGGCTATGATTATAGCATGTCTAGTTCATTTGCTTTAAATCAGGTTAGAAAATTTAAATAAAGATGAGAAAATTGAACTTTCACTCTTTATTTACAGATGGTTGACTTTGAAGATGGACAAGGAGCCCCCAAGGGGGAGGTGGAGGCCCCTGAACTGCCAGAGATCAAGCTCTTTGGCAAATGGTCCCTGGATGAGGTGCAGCTCAGCGACATGTCCCTCCAGGTTAGTTGCAGATCAATTGTTGACATCTTTTGAACATTGTAATTTGCTTGTGTAAATGTTATCTTTTTATTGGTAGATAAAATACCTAATGATACTGCTTTACAGGATTACATTGCTGTGAAGAAGTACTATGCCAAGTACTTGCCCCACTCTGCTGGCCGTTATGCTGCCAAGCGTTTCCGCAAGGCTCAGTGCCCCATTGTGGAACGTCTGACCAACTCCCTCATGATGCACGGTCGCAACAACGGCAAGAAGCTCATGGCTGTCCGCATTGTCAAGCACTCCTTCGAGATCATCCACCTCCTCACTGGAGAGGTAAGCAGTGTTTCACAGCCAGGATGAACCTTTCTGTGGATTACCATACTTTGCATATGTCTTGATGGATTATAGTGGCATATTATAAATTTGCTGGAGCTTTGATTCTTCAGCTAATCAGGAAAAGAAAAAAAAGTTGCTCAGAATCTTTCATGTAGTATCTAGCCATGAATCCTTCATAATTTCTGTATTTTCATATTTACAGAACCCAGTTCAGGTGGTTGTGAATGCAATCATCAACTCTGGTCCCCGTGAGGACTCCACACGTATTGGTCGTGCTGGTACTGTCAGACGTCAGGCTGTTGATGTGTCTCCCCTGCGTCGTGTTAACCAGGTGAGAATGTTCTTACAGGTTTCACTGAAATATATTATAAGAAAGAATTGCCAAGTATGCACCTAAACATACTCTCCTTTAAGCACCTGTGAAGACCAAAGTACTTTTTAAGTTATGAAAGATTTTTCTTGTGTTCAAGCAAGCTCAAATATTCTGTGGAACTACTAACACAACCGAGATGGTAAAAAAAAAGTAAATTTGATTGATACCTCATGATTTTCCTGTTAATTTGCACAGATTAAAGCTGATGTAGCACTTGTTGCCACAACAGTGTCGGAACTGTGCTAGATGAAATGGGAAGTGTTCTTATTTCACTATGGTTTATTGCATCTGTGATAGGACCTCTCCAGACAGTTAAACTAGTTATTTTTTCATTTGTACACCTAATTTCTGGAATGAATTTTTGTATTTATATGGTTTGCCTATTTTATTTCCAGGCCATCTGGCTCTTGACCACTGGTGCACGTGAGGCCTCGTTCCGTAACATCAAGACCATTGCTGAATGTCTTGCTGATGAGCTCATCAACGCTGCCAAGGTATTTTTGCATTCATGTGACATTTTGTTTGAAATATCCAAAATACTTAGAGCTACTTTTTTTGTTTGGTTGTTTGTTGTACTTAAAGGACCCTGAATCCCACTGACTTTTGGGTGTATAATGAAAATCAGGTATAATGAAAACTAAATTTTACTACTACTAGGGAGTCATGAAAGATGAGTGTTTTGCAATACTGATTAGAGGAGGGTGGGGGGTAATTAAATTTATAGATAATTGTCAATTTATATAGCAAATACTATATAATTCAGTGTAAGTACAAAACACATGAATTTGGAAGGGTATATTTTTCTGGAAACTTTTGCCCCCCACTGGTGTTGAAGCCCTTGTGCTACCTTTCATAAAACTAAACATCCTTCAAGACTACCATAGTACTTACAGGCTACTTATGCAAGCAACTGTATAGGATGGCTAATGTTTGGCTAATGTGGTATCTCGAGTACTATAGCCTCTTCTCTCCAAATCTGTTTGGAATTCACTGTAGCCAAAGCACAGCCAATTGCCTTTGCTCATCTCAAGAGATAAATTACATCAGCATTTACATGCTGTGATTCAGTATTATGTCTTTGATATTGAAAAGGCATTTGATACTACTTGGTGATTCATAAGTCCCACAGGGCAGTGGACTTTGCACCACATTATTCCTTGTTGCTGTAAATGGCATAGTTTCATCCCTACCACCAGGTATCCCAGTCATCCCTGTACTGTTCTTAGGTGACGAACCACAACTAGATTTTCTACCTCCTTCCTTTTTCTCATGACTTAAACTGCTTTTTCTACGAGCTGCTCCAATCTAATTCGCCCTTCAGATAAGGTCTTTGGTGTCATTTTTGATGAGGTCATATATCTTTTGTTACCCAGTGTGAGTGGGCTTTTTTGGCAGATGTGCAGTCCACCAAACTGGTATATCTGTATGGACCGTATCTGTAGGGATGCCAACTGTGGCATCGGTGTAACGCCACCATGGCATCATAGTAGATGCCACCTGCGAACAAGAGATTAAAGAAAGCTCACAGTTGCCTCCAACTTTTACTCATGCATAAATCTTTGGCTATATATCTAGCACTCTTCCATCTCCATATTACCCAGATCTTCATGTTTGATTATGGTGGCCATGTATATTCTGCCTCTGCCTCCCTTCTCATTCAACTTGAGTCCCCCATTGCAATCTTCAAGTATCCCTAGGTGCCTTGCAATCCTCTCCAGTTGAATCGGGGCTACCATCCCTTGATCTTATGCTCTTTTGTCTCGAAGAAGCTGTGCTCATTTTCACCAATTTTCTCTCTCAAACCTTACAACCACAGTACTTTACCACAGTGTTAAATGACTGATGGCCAGCACATTTGTTTAAGCCATGAACCATTAAGTTTCTGATACTGACATGTACATGTCAAAGGAGTTGTTTTAGAATATACTATTTTCAGTGAACTTTTAATCTTACTGTTACTAATTTCATCATTATTGATGAAATTCTTTCACACTTAGAATTGATATATGGCAGTAATATTTTCTAGTTTTGAGTTAGTGATGATGTAGGTTTATATTGATTATAAAGAGTCAAAATAAAATGGGTTCAGGGTCCTTAAACTTTTATACATTAAGGTGAAGCAGCCCTTTGTTTTTTTCAAGTGAATCCTCAGGTTTTCATAGTTTTATCAGTTCTAATCTCTGCTCTTATTACAGGGATCATCCAACAGCTATGCCATCAAGAAGAAGGACGAGTTGGAGCGTGTTGCCAAGTCCAACCGTTAAGTGAAAATAAATACATTACTTGTCATGACTTGTTTTCCTTTCCTTGTGTTATACATAGATGGGTTTTATATATAAGAATATAAGTTATTGAAAAATACTCTGGAGCATTTTATGACAGGATTTTTTTTCATTGAAGATATTTTTAAAAAGATGTACACTGACTGATTTAGTCTATTTTTATGCATTAATATATTTTTAATTTGATAAGTTATAAATGTACACTTGATAAAAATTTTACTAATGCAGTAATGAAAGTCCATTCCTATATTTTGATATATTTACAAAAGCCCTTCCCAATACTAGGAAGGTCTTGTGTGACTAGGAACTGCCATTTAGTTCCCAAAACATTTACAACTATTAGACTGAAAATGGAAAGAAATTTACAAACTATGAAGAATGTGTGATGAACAAGAGGGGCCAATTGTGTGGAAGAAAGGGGGAAGGGAGTTAAGGTGGCATCAAGGTTGTTGAAAATTGCCTTCATGCTCATCCCTGTCAGACTATCGTTTTCCATCTCTAATTTTCTTCCTTCAACCTTTTTTTTTAATTACAACTTTTAAATTACTGATATTACAACTGATAATATCCATACCACTACAGCTAAACAACCTCCTATTATTTTCCTCTTCTCTGCCTCGATGTATCTGCTCTCTCTACTTGGTTTTGTCTTCGTCTCCTACATTCCCTCTGAAATTTCCTTTCCTTTAGTTAGTCCGTGCATGCGCCGCTAAAATAAGTATGCATGATTGTACACGTATCCCTAACTTATGCTATCAAGTACACTACCAACCCTCCCTATTCCTTAGCAAACCTTCCATTTAGAGCTACACAGAGAACTAGATATTAGACAATTATGCTAAACATTGACAACGAATTTCTTAAACATGGTTGTCAACGCTAGGAAACTTGGTTGGTATCCCTGATTTTCCAACTATGGTAATTCACAAATTACGAGGCTATAATTTCGCAGGTAATCTATAATACGGTATTACACTTTATCACTTCTTAGTCAGCTGCCTTATACATTTTGGGTCAGTCATCATGATAAGAGAAGACGTGTTAGGAATTGCCAGACAGGTGCTACTCACACGGTTTATCATTACCCAATGACTGTTGACACATCTCAATAAGATCAAAACAAGGAATGACTTTAGTAATACATTCAAATTCAATAATTTGTTCCTAAACTGTTAAAATAATTCAAGGGTCGAAACATAGACGCCACTAACACGACTGTCAACGCACGCCTGTCTCACAACATAGACGTTCCAATGCTTGCAAGGCATTATCCAAGACTGCGACACGATTACGAGTGTGGTCTTGATGCATGTATTTGGACATGGCTGCCCACACGGTTTCAGTTGGGTTGAAATCCGGAGATCTGGGTGGATGTGACAAGCGTGATATCGGGACGTTCACGAAACCAATCAATGACAACACAGCTGGTATGGATGCGGCTGCTGTCCTTAATAAGATAGAAGGGGTCCATTTTAGGAAACACCAAAACCCAAACTGTTGGGAGGAAAACCTTCTCTAGGATTTTTTACATATCTGCTGCCAGTAAATCTGCCAGGTCCAACATCCGTTACCTCCCCGACAGAACTTGCATCCACCCAAACAACCCTGCGGTGGTTCGACCATTCCTCCTGCTCGCGGTCACATTCTCCGGTTCAGATCTGTTACATGATAACACGGCGTTGAATATGAAAATAGAGATATATGAAAATGTTTTAGCGTTAATTTCTATTAAAACGAAAACATTTCTTCAAAATATCGAGCGAAGGGAAATAGGAGGGGTGTGGTGCCGTTACTTATCTGGTGTTTTGTTGACGCTATATCTCGCAGCGTTGTTGCCTTCAGAAAAAAGCTTTCTCGTCGCAGATTATTTTTTTGTATTCTAGAAGGCCTGTGGCTTTGCAATAGGCCGTCTGCCTATTGCAAAGCATATTCCATCCTTTTCGGGGATAAGATCATGTCACAATGAATCCTCCATACAACTATTCAATACATTATGAATCAAAACGAGACAGTTTCAAACGCCAAAATACCAACCTTTCCGTAACAGGTTCTGTTCGTTATTGAATGTTTCGACACCCCTCCTATCGATATTTTTCTGTGTAGCTGTACAAGGCATCCGCCCTCGGCTAGAGAACTCGGGAGAGCCACAGGCGGGAGGCAATAACTGGCCAGGACATTCCAGGGCCACGGGGGAGCTTGTCTCACAGGGGGAATAGGCGCCCCCCAAATATTCTAGGAGAGGGAGGAAGGGGAAGGGGAAAGAGAGGGAAGGGAAGAGAAGAAAGGAGGGGGAGGAAAGAAAAAATAAGAGGAAGAGAAAAAAAAGAGGGGTGGGGGGGGAAGAGAGAATAGAGAGAGAGGGATGAAAAAAAAGAAAGGGGATGAAAGAAAAAGAGGGGAAAAGAGAGAGGAGAAGGAAAGAGAGAAGGGATGAAAGAAAAAAGAGGGGAGATGGGAAAGAAGAGAAGAGAAGAAAATCGAGAGGAGAAGGGAAGAGAGAGACAGGGGAGGGAAGAAAGAAGAGAAGAGAGAGGGGAGGGAAGAGAGAAGAGAAGAGGGGAGGGAAGAGAGAAGATTAGAGAATAGAGAGGCGAGAGATAAGATAATAGAGAGGAGAAGAGAGCAAGAGGGGGAATAGGCGCCCCCCAAATATTCTAGGAGAGGGAGGAAGGGGAAGGGGAAAGAGAGGGAAGGGAAGAGAAGAAAGGAGGGGGAGGAAAGAAAAAATAAGAGGAAGAGAAAAAAAAGAGGGGTGGGGGGGGAAGAGAGAATAGAGAGAGAGGGATGAAAAAAAAGAAAGGGGATGAAAGAAAAAGAGGGGAAAAGAGAGAGGAGAAAGAAAAAGAGGGGATGAAAGAGAAAAGGGAGGGGAGATAGGAAAGAAGAGAAGAAAATCGAGAGGAGAAGGAAAGAGAGAGGGGAGGGAAGAGAGAAGAGAAGAGAGAGAGAGGAGGGAAGATAGAAGAGATAGAGGGGAGGGAAGAGAGAAGATTAGAGAATAGAGAGGCGAGAGATAAGATAATAGAGAGGAGAAGAGAGCAAGATATATATATATATATACATATATATATATATATATATATATATATATATATATATATATATATATATATATATATATGTATATATATATATATATATATATATATATATATATATATATATATATATATATATATATATATATATATATATATATATACATATATATGTATGGATAGATAGATAGATAGATAAACTGATAGATATAGATAGAAAGATTTATAGATACAGATAGAAAGGTTTATAGATACAGATAGAAAGACTGATAGATATAGATCGATAGAGGCAAATTGATAGATAGACAGATAGGTAGATAGATACATATAGATAGATAGAGAGAATAGTAATTGTAGAACTTTCACTATAGAGTTTGGCCTGACTTATGCAGTATATCTTATTTATTTATCTTCGTAAGCCTACGGAACAAGCGGTCCTAGTGATTGAATCTAGTTTTTTTGCATTGTGGGTTTTTCTACCATATATATATATATATATATATATATATATATATATATATATATATATATATATATATATATATACATATGTATGTATATTATATATATATATATATATATTATATATATGTTATATATATATATATATATATATATATATATATATATATATATATATATATATATATATATATATATATATATATAAATGTACATATATATATATATATATATATATATATATATATATGAATATATACATATATATATGTATATATACATATTTAAACATACATACACACATATATACATAAATATTTATGTATATATTTTTCTTTTTGTTTTTGGCCTATTTCTATATATTTTTAAAATTCGGTTAATTTTATATGAACTTCAAATACCCTTGGTTTAAATAGATTTCTACCGTAATCGAAAGCAATCAGCTTTGTTCGGTTTTATTTCAGAAGTTACAATTTTGATGTATTGATCAAAATATCTTACTAATGCAACCCTGGTTTAAAAGTTTTGCAATTTGAGGGATATTAGAGTCTTCCTTCTCAGTGTCGTTGTTTCCATTATAAGGGATCTGCTGAAAAAAAACAAACTGTTATTTGAAAATGTAATATCTTGGCAAGCGTTCAAAGAGTCGATGAAAAGGAAATTCATGGCACAAGTACATCAATATTCTTCCGCTTCAGGAATGACATTATGCTTCACAGGCCTTGTTTAATGGAGTTCATTGTTGTGTTCGTCATGGTTTACGAAGCTAGCCAGTTTCCATGAGTAATCTAGTACTCTTTTCCTGTTGGGTTACGCGAGACGGATGAAATAGTGAACAGTGGCTAGAATTTGAGACTATAGTCCTGCACACAAGCAAAATTCGCTCACAAGTTGCAGTTAACCATGTCAGTGATGATTTTTACTGTCACTTCACAAGTTTCCTGTAGAGGTAAACTGGCCGGTAGTATTTATGCTGGGCATGTAATAACCAATCTTGTCCCCTTTCAGCAAGTCAGGCTTCCTCTGCATTCCCATCCGAAGAAGCCGTTGGCCCAATTTCGGAATGCCATTAACGTTAATCCTACACTTGTTACAGCTGCTAATACCTCAGTTCCTGCTGCTGAACCAATTTTCAATATATTACCAGATGCTGAAAACGTTGGTGATATAACATTTACAACTATAAATTATGTTCGGAGGATGGTCACTTTTTAGGTCAATTTGTGATCAGACAAGAAAGAAAGCATTTACCGACACACGCTCAACAGCATCTCTTGTCGAATCCTTTTTCTCTGGAAATTGTGCAAGCAGAATATATCCCTGTGTCCTGTCCTTAACAGACCTGGTTGTCCAACGGACTACTTGAAGCTTTCTTGCAACATATTTGATTTACGAAGTTGCAGATAAACGCCCAACATACAAATTCGGTTTAATGCTACATTGCGTCAGACTAAATAGAATACACCAATGATGTCTCTTGCCGTATCCATTATCTACTCATTCAGAC